ATAAAAGGAAATAAATTTATAGCGAGAAAACGCCAAGAAGGAGGGTGCTTAGAAGGTGAAGCAATTATAGTTTGTTAAGCCAGTAAAATATTGATAGAGCTGTTCCATTACAAAAATCAAACATGTTAAAAAAGTTAATAAGCGGATTGATACATTTTTTTTGGCGCAGTATTGCTGGATTTTCCATCACGAATTTTTGCCGCACAAGTAATCGTTAATAACGAATATTATTGCATATAAATTTTGATAATAAAAATATCAACATTTAAAAGTCTCACTGCGATTTTAGTAATATCCATGGTGTATGGACATTTGTGGAAATAGTAAGCCTGTTATTGTTACTTTATTTTAAATGTTTTTACTAACCTTACAACGTTTAGAAAAAAACTTAAGACACATATTTATTTGGTGCCCAACGTGGGGCATATTTTTGGCGCCCAACGTGGGGCATATTTTTTTCACGTTATACTAGCACCGTACACTAGCAACTGCCAGTGTCCAGAAAAACCTGATCGACGTTTAAGGTGAAAGCGCTAAAGATTGTTTAAAAAACAAAGTTGAATGATTCCTCAATACGTTTTTGAGCTCTGCTAACAAAATTTCGTGACGAAACATGGAAAAAAAATGCAAAAATATGTTTTGCAGTTTTTTGTTTATAACTTTAAAAATATCAACTTTTCGTAATATTTCTAATCAAAATTAAAGCACATACCATTTCTTATAATTTTTATTATATAAGTTTTTTTCTCTGAAGAACTGTTTGGGCTCAACACCCAGTTGAGCTCATCAGGCTGAGGACGATGCCGATGTCTTTTGCGAAAAGCACTTACGTTGACCCCATTAAATAATTACGTCACAATAAGGGGGGATATTCATCTTTTGGTTGTTTCAATTGGCCTATGTAGTTTTGATATAAAGAATGTCTTCTTTCTAAACCCAGACAAAGGATAGTCTCTCAAAGACAAAAAAGACTAAAGATATATCTCACACTCTTACATGGGATTGCCATATGTTCAGGTCGCCAATAGACTGTAGCTTTACAGGGTGGGTCTTAGATAAGTGCAAATATTTTCAGGATTGATAGCCCAAGTAACAAAATTCCGACTTCCGACTAGTTTTGACTACGCACAACGTTGAAATTGGTACTTTTCCCTGCCCTATGTATACCCAAACCTCAAATTACGTAGCCAAAACGTCGCTACGACGTTGCACTTAAACAGTTGTATATTTTGGGGTTTTATACCGTTGTCATTACGTCGCCAGAAGGCAGTTTATTGTACTACAGAATAACAAAGTAGTACAACGTTGTGCAACGTACTTTTAAATTACGAGTGTAAGTACATACTAACTACAACGTAATACAACGTTTCATTAAACGACCCAAAGCAACTTCAAAATTATAACCAATTACTATGTTGGATTACGGCGACGAGCGCGACGATATCGATTTTTGTTGTGGAAGCGGAACTATCTACACCTAACCTCAAAAAATTCTGTACTGTACTGTCACAGAGCAATTGGTTAGGTATTTTTTCAGTGGTACTTACTGTGTAAAGCGAAAAGAAGATGTATAGGAAAACAGTATATAAATACTCTACAACTTTTTATAGAAAAAGGAAAAAGTATTTAGAAGAAAGTCAGCGAGCAAGTCAGTGTCCGAAAAATGAAGTGGAAATAACGAGTTTACGTTCGTCATCCACATCCTCGCAATGTGCTACTAGTGGTAGCTTATCATCAATGGATACTATAGAAATAAATAACAGTACACTTGAAGTCCATACAACAGAGGAATACTAATGATTCTCCATGAATAATGATTCTCCAGAAGAGCAGTCAACTGAAATTCATCCTGACGTCCTTTCGACCAAAAAATAAAAACATTTTTAAGTCAGTGGACTGTACAAAATAATATATCCGATTCAGCTGTAAACTAGCTTTTAAAAGGATTATTATCTTGTGGTATAAAAGGGCTGCCGATTGATGCACGTGGAGTGGTAAGATCAAGAATACTTCCTGTACGGCTTTTTTAACAATAAATAAATAGAAATACTGATCTAATGTCAGCGATCTTATAAAAGAGTATGTGACCACCACTACCAAAAGATGACCCAGCTTTCTTCTTTATTTTATTTTTCCTTGGTAAAAAAGAGCACTGTAAGAAGGAATTTTGTTATTTACCTCCTAGATGTCGGTAGGGTTCAGAGGCCCTATTTCGTCAAAGCAGGTGTCAATTTCTGAACAAAAGGTTGGCATAGGTGACCTAAAGGTCGGTTACCGCACCTTATGCACTATATTGGTTTTTTAAAGGTTGCCTTAGGCAACTCCGCCATTTTAATACGATTTATCTTTTCATGCGCTGTGGACGAATCGAATAAAATATCAGAAACCACAAAATACTGCGAATTTCGTTAAAAAACTGTATCTGTTAGGGTTGTAAGCTAATTTTCCTGATAGATTTCGTATATTTGTCTCAAATTTAAACAAAAAAAAATTAGGTTAACCAAGTAAACTATAATTTTAAAATTAAAACTAGGAAATAATAAAGGGGTTTCGCCATATTTCGAAGTATCATGGTCACTTTCAACAGTAAACTAATCTTCATTGATGAATTTCAATTGCCGACATCTCAAAACTTTGCAGATTTGGCGAAGTTAAATTCACCTAGTTATTTCTTAATGGAGCATAATATATTCCATTTCTAATACATACATCATTCATTTTGGTTTCCCCATGGTTGAATATAGTAATATTTGACGACTAATATTTTTAACTCTAACCCCAAAATATCGCGAATCGGCATGAAAAACAACTTTTAGCACAAGACGTACTACGTCGCCTCAAACAACGTCGCCAACGTTGGCGACGTTGTAGCGACCCTAAAAACATCCACCATTTTGGTGCAAATATGGGTCGCTTAGACGTCGCTTCGACGTTGTCCGGCAACGTTGGGTTGCTCCTGGCGACGTTGTGATTACTTTGAACAACGTAATTTTGCTACTTGGGAGATCTCAATAAAAGAAATATATTTTCTCTTTGCCCTTTTTGAAATGAGTTCAAAATAACCGAGTTATTCAAGTTTGAAAATTAAAAAAAAATAGATTTATTATTTAAAAATTTTGGAAGCCACCAAATTTTTTCTGTATTTGCATCATCCCTTTCAGTGCCGTAACCATAGAGTAGAGCCGTAACCGTGGTAATATCAGAGATTATGAAATTTAGAAAAGTCAAAAAAAAGTTTTATTTTCCTTCACTGCCATCTGACATATGTCTCTAACTAAATCATAAAAATAATATTTTTACTATAATTATCCCAATTTAGGATAAAACGCGACTTAGACGCCATATTAGTTTTGTATTTCTGTGAATTAGGATTTTAAACAACGTTGCAGTTTGTACTAAATTAGGCTTCTAGCCAACGTCGGTATCCAACGTCGTTTCGACCCAAAAATTATTCTCCAAACTAGTGCAGACTAGGGTTGGCACGAGGTTGTGCCGACGTTGCGCCCCGACGTTTGATCGCGTGACACAACGTTGTCCCGACGTCCAAATGCTGCTTGGGGGGGTTCTGTTATAGAGAAATGATTATAGAAAATTTGGTAAATGTATCATTTTGCACTCCATTCAATTTCACATTTTTATATTCAGAAGTCCAAAATAACCGAGTTATTCAAGTTTGAAAATTAAAAAAAAAATTGATTTATTATTTAAAAATTTTGGAAGCCACCAAATTTTTTCTGTATTTGCATCATCCCTTTCAGTGCCGTAACCATAGAGTAGAGCCGTAACCGTGGTAATATCAGAGATTATGAAATTTAAAAAAGTCGTCTATTATTCCCGAAGTGATCTGGTCTATAGAAGAGATTAAGAAACGATAATGTGGGAAAATTTGCGGTGAACAGTCAGTATTAAAAAGTTTTCTAAAATATACAGGAACATTTAAAAGAAAATGCATGATTTTTAACATTTTTTGTTGCGAAAAAAACCCTTATAGACAAGTTCCTGGGGTCGAAATATTCCAGCCCTAATTATATTTGCACTTATTTAAGACTCACCCGTATTATGCCCAACTAACGAAACTTGGTTAAGAGAACTCTATTACGCTGTACTTTGGGATCGCTCTCAGGGGTCGAGTAAAGCAGGTGTGTGGCCGATGGAAATATATATTATATTTCAGAAATCTGCCTAAGGCTTAGCCCGATTCTATCGTGTTAAACCACACCTAAAAGTCCAAACACACGTGCTTTCATTAAGGCTTGATTAAGGTTTGCAGAGCATCAGCATTTGCCATAAAATAGCGAGCAATTTGTTACAAAACTAGATAAATTATATATCACTGTAATCACAAAACTTCAATCTATTTCCGTATTGTAACGGAATTTTAAATTATGGCTTTATTTTTGAGAAAATGTATTCCAAACATAAGGAATATTTTGTTGATGTTTCACCATCAAAATCTTAAAAATAAAGAAGTTGTCTAAAAATGTGCTATAATACGGATATAGTAAAATCCTTTATCTTTAATTTCCTTCTTCATTTGTGTAAAAATACCTAGCCGGTTTTACATAAAACGTTAAATGCCGAACGCTTTTTTTTCTACTTTTTCGGACTAGTGAAATGAACGCTTAAGTTAAATATAACTAAATTTTTAGAGACTCTATATTTCCAAAATTGTCTTATTACATCAAATATTGAACCCGGCATTCTTCAGGCTAGTCTTTAATCGGTATGGACGGGAAATGTAACCTTTTTTGGGCGCATGACCTGCCCAAACCGTGCCCTACGCCTGGTGAACTTGGTTCGAAGCGCCAGTCGGGACTCGGCAACGTGTCCAGACGCCCGGTGACGTCATCGATCGCACTTCCCACGGCGTCCCGACGCTCCAGACGCCGCCGAACGCGACGCTCGAAGGATCAGCGTATAAAATAAAATCAAAGAAAAACAAAGTCTTGTTCGTGTTTCAGATATTTTCGTCCCGTTTGTTTTGGTTTATTTTTCTTTGCTTTTTTTTTAATTTTTGTTAGAAAAAGACATTTTTCAAAAAAAATGTAAGAAATTGTTAGTAGTTGATGAGGTAAGTGTTAATTTTAGAATACAATTTATTTGGTTTAATTTTACACTGCTTCTTTAAATTAATAAGAAGTTAATTTTATTTCGCCTATCAATTTATTAATAAAAATATAGTTTTGAATTTATTATTATTCAGCTTAAAAGAAATTCCAAAGCAGTGCTTTAGAATGTTTATACTGGGTCTATATTATTTTGTAGCAATATTGATATTTATTATTATATTTTAAAAACTATTAATTTATAGACATAAAATTGTTTTAGAACCCGAAAAAGGGGGGGAATTACTAAAAACTTAATTTAAGTTTATATTTTAGTTGTAACATTTATTTTACTTACCAATTTTCTATCAGGAATATAAAATTATTTTAATTAAATGAAGTTATGGAATAAAATCAATTAGCTATGTAAGTCTATAAAATAAATAACTGTGTAGGTATCGAGTTTCATATTAAAATTAATTGTTTATATCATAATTATACAGTGTTATTCACCACATACGACACAGAGTATTGTAGCTAAACGATTAGATTTTTACAAATTGTAAGTTTTGGGTTCGTTTAAGGACTATTAGAGCTACAATTTATTTTTTCAAGGATACAGTATGTCTCAAATAACTAAAAAATATTATAGTTGTAATTTTTTATAAGGAATACCCTGTATATTATTCTATTTTTAGATTCTGCGATTGAAATAAGGTAATTTTGATGGTTGTCACACTAAACCTTACCGTTTTTGAAATATTTTCAATTTTGTGAAACTGCAGTAACTCGTTTAATTTAAATGGAACATCCTATATATTTTACGAGAATCAGATGTACAACTTAATTGTCTATGAAATTGTATCATAACATTTTTTACTCATCTCTTCAAATTTTCGTAGAAAATACATTTTTTATAATTTAGACCAATTATCAATATATCCATGGAATATTGACATTTGAATTGGATATTGATAGGTAAAATGCAGTACAGAATAATTTTAAACTTACATTAGCTTTTACCTTTGTATCATTACGCGATTTTCCTAACAAATACAGGGTGTCCAAATATTCCGTGCATATAGAACTACTACGTGTTTGTACTATTGGACACTAATAATAAATTTATCTCTATATAAGAGTATTTCGTTTGTCCGCCAGATGGTATGAAATTTTGAAAAAATAAACACATTTTTTCAAATACTTTAAGAACCGTTATTCCGACTTGAATGAGATTTTTGGTGTTTATGTTTTGCTAAGTGCTTCAATATTTGACTTCCACAAATATCAAGATAGAGCAGAGGGAGGATGAAAACTACCCCCACCCCTAAATAAATTTTGGTATAAATATTTTCTAACTCAACCGACGACCGATTTTTTTTTTCGTAAAATGGTCCCTCTAGTACCATTACTTAAATGCAAAAGCCGCATATCAAAAGAAAAGGCAAAGAAAATGCAAGACATGTTGGACTATACATATACTCCAGGGCCGTTATTTTCGATCCTATGGTGCTCGTGGAACAAAATCACATGAAGCTGATTTTTGGTTAATATCTAGCTTTGGTCGCTCCGATTAACATACAAAAAGTCCCCACCCCTGCGAGGGTGCAAACCACCCAAAAACCACCCCCAAAGGTACATTTTTTTAGTTTTCGCCCATTATCTCGAATATGGTTGATTTTTTCAAAAAAAGACTAGATATTAAAATTAAAGCCAATAAGATTATCTACAAACTGGTGTATATAAGTCTATATTTTTACACAGTGGCGTGCAGCAAACGTTTAAAATCGATAAAGTCCATTTTTTTGTACATTTTTTAAAGTTTTCGTTATTTATTTAAAAAATGGTTGATTTAAGAAAAAAATACTACATAACAAAATGGAATCCAGTAAAAATACCTACAAAATGATGTATATAAGTATATATTTAAATTAACACAGTGGCGTACACTAAAGGTCTTTATGTTGGTGTTAATATTTTCCATCGTGTAGCGTAAAATTAATAGGTACCTTATTTAAACAAAGTCTTCTTCGTGGTCATCCTCGTTTTTATCAGTCTGCTTAGAGAAGAGAACATTGCTAGAGGACTGTCCTTGGCATTACCAACAGAGATTGGAGCAATGTAATCCAGCTTTTCTGCAACTGCACAGTTTTCCACAACTTGTCCTACAGTTGTAGAACACTAATTTTAAAATAAAATCTGGGGCAATGGGCTTATTAACAGTTGTTGGCACCAAAAGCCCTGTTTTTTCCATCCCCAAGAGGTAGCATCCAATTCAATCCCCAACCATGCCTGAATTTGGTGATACACCCGCAAACTGTGCTTGGATGCAGTGTCGGATGTTGGCGGCAGAGATGCCAAGGGGAGAAGTCCGAGTTGAGGCTTTGTTGTGCAGTATTGTTGAATTTTACGAGCCGGAGTTGATCTAATGTTTTTATTGATTTACCGGCTTCATATAAGAAAAGAAATTCTTCTCCTACAGAAATTAATTCACTTTTGTTGGCATATGGCGTTAAAAAAACTGCTACTTTCCTTTGTAACTCTGGATTTTTTTCTAAAGGTTGACAACTTTCCGTTTTTATGGTCGGTATGAAAAAAATACTTGTGCTGACATCCAATTTTCAGAAGACACTATGGCAACCATCAACCAATCACATTTTTTTTTCGAATAAGAACAATAAGTCGTTATTTATTAAACAACTGAGTCAAAACTTAAAGACGCTGGTGTTCAAATAATTCAGGTGATGCAGATATACTTAGAGTGGACAAAGTTTTAGAATTAGGAAAATCAGAAATTCGAGTAACATTGGTTGGAGAAGACACTAATTTAATGGTTTTACTACTATTTAAAACAAAATCCGACAACATCTTTATGTTAAGACCTGGCCAAACTACAAAACTTAATAAAAGCATAGGTTCCCTGCAGAACCAGATAGGTGTCCTTACAACCTCTATCCTACTTTGCCATGCCATTTCTGGATGTAACACAACTTCGGCAATTTATAAAAAGGGAAAGTTGTCAACACATAAGCTTTTAGAAAAAATCCGGAATTACAAAGGAAAGTAGCAGTTTTTTAACGCCAAATGCCAACAAAAGTGAATTAATTTCTGTAGGAGAAGAATTTCTTTTAATTTTATATGGAGCCGATAAATCAATAAAAACATTAGATCAACTACGGTTCGTAAAATTCAACAACAATACTGCGCGACAAAGCCTCAACTCGACCTTCGTCTTGACATCTCTGCCGCCAACATCCGACGCTGCATCCAATCACAGTTTGCAGGTGTATCACCAAATTCAGGCATGGTTGGGGATTGAATTGGATGCTATATACCTCTTGGGGATGAAAAAAACAGGGCTTTTGGTACCAATAACTGTTAATAAGCCCATTGCCCAAGATCTTATTTTAAAATTGTTGTTCTGCAACTGTAGGACAGGTTGTGGAAAACTGCGCAGTTGCAGAAAAGCTGGATTAGATTGCTCCAATCCCTGTTGGCAATACCAAGGACAGTCCTGTAGCAATGTTCTCGTCTCTAAGCAGACTGATGAAAACGAGGATGACCACGAAGAAGACTTTGTTTAAATAAGGTACCTATTAATTTTACGCTACACGATGGAAAATATTAACACCAACATAAAGACCTTTAGTGTACGCCACTGTGTTAACTTAAATATGTACTTATACACATCATTTTGTAGGTATTTTTACTGGATTCTATATTGTTATGTAGTATTTTTTTCTCAAATCAACCATTTTTGTAATAAATAACGAAAACTTTAAAAAATGTACAAAAAAATGGACTTTGTCAACTTTAAATGTTTGCTGTACGCCACTGTGTAAACACTTATATACATCAATTTGTAGATAATTTTATTGGCTTTAATTTTAATGTCTCGTATTTTTTCGAAAAAAATCAACCATATTCGAGATAATGGGCGAAAACTAAAAAAATGTATACTTGGGGGTGTTTTTGGGGTGGTTTGCACCCTCGCAGGGGTGGGAACTTTTTGTATGTTAATCGGGATGACCAAAACTAGATATTAACCAAAAATCAGCTTCATGTGATTTTGTTCCACGAGCGACCTTAAATACATTGTGGTAATATACCCCAGTTGTTTTTATCTCATTTTATGCGGACATAATCAAAAAGGTCATTCAAGGATATGCAGACTAGACTTTTAAACGGTATTGCTGGTTGCACATAGACCCTTTTACACTGAAGCCCAAGATCGTCATGGTACCTTCTAGAAATTTTGTTTTTTCTTTACTAAAATTCTTATTTACTTTATAAAACTGTCGCTTTAATAAATAAATTTACGCAATTTTTTGGCTTCACTTGACATTGTTCTAAGTCTAAATATATTCGTTTTTCTTAATTTTCTCGCAAGTAGAATTTTGGCACTTGGACCGTTTGGGAATACCACGCTTCAATATTTTTTTATTAAGCAAGAATGTCAAAAGTTGACATATGATATAGTATTCTATTCAGAATGTCATTTTCTATCAAATAAAGTAAAAAATAACGGAGGGTGCGATTTAAAAATCAAAAGTTGTAGTCATTTTCAAAAAATAATTGAATTGAATCAATCCTAATTTATGTCATAAACTAACTTACCAAATCTCGTTTTTTTAAATAAAAAAATAAAAAACTTATAGGGGTGAGCCACTTTTGAGACGCACCCGGTATAGTCTGTACTTAGTATATTTAAAAAATGGTTCCTCTATGTTCACACCAATTTAAAAAAATATATAATACAATATAAAACAATATAATACAAAATATATTATTTCCCGCTTAAATAACGCTCTAATCGTTTATCCGGAAAATTGGAAAGTCGGAGACAAGAGTTAATAAAAGCTTGTCTCCTGAACGATGTCTACAAGTTCCAACCGAATGGCAATTTCATAAGGACGATTTTTATTTGCTTTTCCAGGCGGAGACATCGCATGACTGGCACGCATCTCTGGAGAAAGATTTGCCAGCGGAAGCGTAAAGAGATAACGACGGCATTCCGGGTGGATTG